ACCGGTATGCCAGCCGGCATGCCGGCGGTGGCAAGACTGGCATGGCAGGGTGGCATGATCTGCCAAGCGCACTATCCAGAATACAGTAATCAGTCACTTCTTTCAGGTGCCCGTCTTTACCGCGTTCTAAAATTTTAGTTATGGTGCAATGGCCCATGAACTGGCAAACGCTCTGGAAGAGACGAACAGTCACACGACTCCTGCAGTCCTAGATCTATCATCTCGAAGGGTCTGATGCCAAGAAGCTTATCGCCTTAATAGCGTTAGAATATAGAGCCATTCGAGCTTATATTTGTTCTCATACGACACCCATAATCAATACCCATAGTCGCCCTTGACAAAGTCATAAACAATGACGTCCTCGACGATATCCATGATAGACATCTGGTGGATCACGAGAGTCAGCAATCACAAAAGGCAGCAATTTATGAGCCTGACTTTGTATGCCACGTGCTTCGGGTCGGGGATAAATTCGTCACGGTTTGCCTCAGACTGCCGCATATTCGAGTCAGTGCGACACTCTCCGCTTCACAGCAAAGTTGCCTTGAGCCCACCTTGAACTCCACAGTGAAGACGATGTCGAAGCCCTTGCCAAGGCCCTCGGGGTTGTTGTTCCTACCGCCTGAACACCTCTCAGCATGCGGTCGCGAGGTGGTATCAACCCGGGGGCTCACCAGTAGGTCCTTGGTTCACCAAGTGCGCGTTCTCCTCGTAGAGAGCGATGAGGCCGTCAAGCGCCTTGCGTTTCTGCTCCTCCGTCGTACCAGGCTTGTACTTGAACGCGGCGAAGCGGGTCACTGGGGCCATGGTGTAGAAATGGGCGGTGGTAGTCAAGATCGATCTGTGTCTCAGATACGAGAGTTTGTGGGGGACACTTGTTGGATGAGAGGTCGCGTATAAATACTGCAGCGACAGTCATTGTTGATTGGCGAGTGCTGCTTCGAGTTCGTGGGTGTGACGTGAGCGGTGATTGAGCAGCGCGTGAAACATGCCCCTGCTGATGTCTTTTAGAACTAATATGGGATGGGTAGCTTTGAGTAGTGTTGTAGAAGAAAGAGAAGGGTATGTAACGTACGATCCGATCAGCATCCGAGCGGCGAGGCCTGATGCATGCTGCTTGATAACTATTCTCCGCGACGAATGGGTCGAAGGATTCACCGCGCTCCTCAGCCATGGTACACTCAACCGTTTTGTCCTAGCTTGCTAGTATATTCGCATCCTGAGCCACTATCATAGTAAAAGCGCTGTTATCGCTTCAAGGAGGGCATTGAGGGCGTGACTACTTCGTTGAACGGTCACTGTACTATAATATGTGCTGTAAATCAGTTCAGACTATGCTAAGATGGCTTACCGTAGCAGGCGCGTGATCTGTAATATTTAAAATTTCCCCCTGGTCAACTTGCAATTGGTCAGGCCTCGGAGATTTACACGATGCGGCCAGCGCCCTGGCATGTAAGCGAAGTTGCGAACGAACACCCGTGTTTTCTGATAGTACGTGGAGTGTATGTGAGGGAAAGAACTATACCTATTCAGTCCCAAATATTCCCAAAACTCCCTCTTTACCTCCATATTGTATAGTCGGCCTCATGCGGCTTATCGTGCGAAGGGCCGATGTGGTAGTATTGATTGAGTACTGTCTGGGTACTTAGTACGACGGGATTCTGCGACCATCACGCGCACTACCGACCCATATAATCACAGTGATCAATGAGCTGTAATGATGACAGAATGCAGAAAGCGTCGAGCAAAAACGCGCCGGTTGGAGATTTGTGTCGCTATTTGGCTTTGTTTTGGCCAGAAGGTTCCGCCTTCTATATAGGGCTCCCGTAGACGCCTCAGGTTTCGTTCTCCACTACTTACAACCAGTCACACAGCCCGCAATGACTGCGATTGCTCTACCGTTAGAACTCGTTGGCCTCCTTATGGAGGAGCTGTTTGACGACAAACGGTCCCTTGCACAGTGCTCTCTCGTATGTTGGCAGTGGACGATTGCTAGCTCACGGATTCTCTTTAGGAAACTACGCTTGAAACCTCAGGTGGAGGAACATGCATCATACGACTGGTACGAAATGTTCTTGCTACAAATTTGGACGCTGTCCCGGCTGTGTGCAAACGTGCAGCAGCTGACTTTCACGTCCGAAGGATCGGATGGTCAACCGGTGTGCAGCGGTCCCGTGCTGCAGCACATCCTCGCAGCTCTACCCAACCTCAGGATCTTTGAGATGAGCTATCTCGATTTCAATGGATCCCATAAATCCTCAGAGCTTGCACTCAGCCTCCCCCCCGTAACATCCCTGTTTAAACTCGAGCGTGTCGCGCTGCGAAACGTGCTCGGCCTCAGCACGTACCGCGGCCGCGTGGTCGAGTCTGGTTCCTCGGACAGCTTCGGCCTCGCCGAGTTTCTCAATATCTTCGACGAGATCAGGGACCTCCAGCTCGACAACGGAGCCCTCCCATTCATGTACCCTGTGACCTGGCACCTGCTCGAGGCCAGTCCGACGCCGCTCGGACGCCCGCAAGGGCGTCTACTCCGAGCGGAGCGCGTACACCTTACCGGCCAACAATCCGCACGATCTCTTGCGGTTCTTCAGCATATGGTCGACCTAAACGGGCTTAAGCGGCTCCGCATCCAACTTAGCCCAGCTGTACTTTCCCTTGTCGACGACTTCATATCCCGTTCAATAAACATCGAGCACATCCATCTTAATCTCCGACTCGACTTGACGTTTTCGCGAGGTGCGTCTAGGGTGTAAAAATTATAATCACTGAAACCATATCTGATGACGTCGTGCAGTGTCCTCGCTTGCCCACTGTTCGCAGCTCAAAACCCTACGCATCTCCACAATCGACTTCCTCCCAGGCACGATCCGCTGGGCAAACGACATGTGGGACCGCGCCATGGACGTCCTACAGTGCGCACCCCCCTCGCTCCGCCAGATCGTCCTAGACATCGTGTTTCCCACGAGCCCGTTCGAGGGCGAGTCTGACGGTGGCGACATCAGCGTCGTGGACGACCTCGATTGGACCGTGTTCAACGCGATCCTTGCCCGACGCGACGGGCCGCAGATCCTGCTTCTTTCTGCGCATCTCCGCCCGTGGACGAGGCCAATGCAGGACGCAATCCGAACGAAGGTGTCCGTGAGAGTACGGGACTCGTTGAAGTTGATGTTCGGTAAGCCTGAGAACGGCAGGTTAGTGTAGGTTAGATTGTATGTTCTGCGATACCGGAAAGCTTTGTGACATAGACGGCCTTTCTTTACTTTGATTCGATGCTAGATATGCTCATTATGCTTGGTTAGTTTGTGTTAGTTACTTCTGTAAATATGCTTGATTGCAACACATTATGATGGCTGCCTTCAAATTCGTGGCCGTGCTCGGTGCGGTCGGCGTATGCAGGGCGTTGTTCGCGGACAGCGCGAGGAACAAGCGGCGAGGAACAAGCGGCGAGGTGCTTGTTGCGGGCAATGTGCCCGGGGTGCACAGGGCGCTGCTTGCAGGCGGCGTGGATGAGGCGTACTCTGCCTGCGCAAAGTGTTGTTAACGGACGGTGCGGGCGTGGCGACGTCGGTGTGCCCGGTGTGCGTAAGGTGTCGTTCTACCAGGTGACACAACCCACAAGCTAATGAGTATCAATATGGCCCTCTGCGCGAGAGCTTTGAACTTGTTCTCGAAAACATGATGCTGAGTGTGTGAAAGAGTGTTGATATCTGTTGATCATACTATGGGTGGCCTGTTAGTGCTCTGCCTTGTACACTGATCGCTTTTCCTTCATGAAAAATACCTGTAAGAATAGCGTAGAATCTCTTTTTTGCACCTATATTTTTGTATTTCTTTTGTACGTCATTTAACGTTCTTTCGAGTGTGTTGAGAACCAGACGAGACCAGACGAGATGGAAATTAAGAATGTGAAGCCCCAATTGTCACATCATGATCTTCCCCTTTGTGGACGTGATTGAGAGCTACCATTGAAACTACCGTGACGTGCAAGGCCTGTCACAGGCATTTAGGCCCTCCAACTGACATTTTCGTGATATCCCTCACATCGAATAATTTCGTAGTTTTGAGTGGCCATAAAATCATGATATCATGCAAATTGTGTTATATAAAAGTCCCAGCTCCCAAAGATGCGCAGGAAGTGCCAGAATGCAAATTTCTTAACATTATCCGGCTTCGCATCACCGCTCTGATTCACCGGGCTACCCATAGCGTCACAGGAGATGCTGTGCATGATCCTGCCAAGAGGCTCTGTTTAATATCTGATACATCTTGCGCGTGATACAGCTTAGCTCTCATAAAGAGCAATCCAACAACCTCTACTACTCCTACGATGATTCCAAGTTCAAGTTCTCATACGATATCCACTCCACCATCTCTTTCTCTTTCAAATCCCCAGACGGAACCTACAACACACCCAAGCCTCACAACGAGCCCACTGGGTACTTCTTCATTGAGTCCACTATTAACCCTTCCGATAAGCCCACTGGCAACTGCCCTTAAATCCCCTGATGCGGGGGGGCCAACGCATATGACATTGGTCATTCCATGCGCCCTTACTTCAATAGCAACAATCGCCTATTACCATCGCCATCAAAAGAGTAGTCGGTCGAATCAGTCTCGCACATCTTCGCAGACAGCACACTTGGACGGTCATCGGGGCGCTGAAAACTCTGTTTCTGTCCCGTTGATTACGCAAGTCGTACCATTTCGCCAGGTCGCCGAGGCGGGGCCAA